CGAGCCTTCTAATCTATCTTGGAAATACTTGAGGGATACTCTCGATTTTTAATAAACTTTTGGATATCATGATACCACGGCTTGTATTTGTTTCTTCCTTAATAGCATAATAGTAGAGTCGGTGAATTTTTTATCTCAATACAAATGGGCTATATCCCGATCGTGGGATCGAGTCGAGTCATTGAGGCTAGAATTGCCAATGTATCGATAAATTGGTTTTTGTCTTTTCCCGGATAAGCGAATTCAATTTTGTCAAATACTTCGACTAGTTTGGTAAGATAAATCGATAACTTTTCAACTTCTCATCCTTTATTTCTCATTCTTCTTTGACTTGATAGATTATTAACATCGAATCACCATATACTTCAAGCTTTGTGATCCATCTCTATTTAGTTGCCTTTAGGCCATGTATGTAAGCTTCATACTCGGTTATATTATTGGTACAGTCGAATCAAAATTAGATGGCCATTGGGTATTGTTTGTTGTTTGAGGAGATTAGAACCGCCCCTATACTCGTTGCCCAATACATTCACCATCCCATCAAAGTACATAGTCTATTTCTCACCATTGGACTCGACTACTTCAATTTCATATATCATGATATCTCGAAATTAAAAAAGTCAAAGTTTAATAGTTCATAATCATCGACTCGTATTATTTGCTAAATGGTTTACAAATGCACTCTCATTTACCGACTTTCTAATCTTATAGATGATGTCGTATTCCAGTAACTATACTTGCCATCTTGCAATTCTACTTGATATGTATGACTTTTTGAAGATATACTTGAAGGGATCAATTTTTGAGATCAGTCATGTTATGTAGTATAACAAATACTACCTAAGTTATCGAACATTTCATACTAGATTACAACACATCTTTTTCGAGTGTACTATATCGAGACTCACGAGTCGAAGAATTTCTTACTCGGAAAATAGACTACTTACTCTTTTCTTTTAGTATCATCATGTTGACCCAAAACACAATCTATAGCTAACTCGATAACCGTCGGATATAAAATCAAAGGTCAATCAAGCATCGATGAGACAAGAAGAAGAGGTTTTATAAATATTATTTGATCTTGTCAAAAACAGATTGACATGCATCATCCCAAGTTCTTGGGTTGTTTTTTCTCAATAATTGAAAGATGGGTTCATATGTCACTATGAGTTGAGAGATGAATCGAGCTATATAGTTTAACCGACTTAAGAAACCTCCGACTTTCTTTTCACTATGGGGTGGTGGCATTTCTTGAATAGCTTTAGCATTATTAGGATCTATTTCTATCCCTCTATTACCCATGACAAATCCTAGTAATTTTCCTTGACCTCGAATGTACACTTAGTAAGATTCAGCTTCAATTAATACATTTTTAACCTTTCAAACAACTTCTTCAATGTCCGAACATGATCTTCTTCGAGCTTTATCTTAGTAATCATGTCATCTACATACACTTCAATTTATTTATGCATCATGCCATGAAGAGGGTAACCATAGCCCGTTGATAAGTTACCTCAATATTTTTTAGACTTGAACAGTATGACTTTGTAACATTAGGTTCCTCATGGTGTGATGAAAATAGTCTTCTTCATATCTTTCACTACCATCTTAATCTGGTTGTACCCCGAGAAACTATCCATAAAAGTAGTAAGTAGAGCTTTTTGCAGCATTGTCTACCGGTATGTTAATATGTAGTAAGAAAAAATTATCTTTGGGATCGGCTTTGTTCAAGTTTTGAAAATCAACATACATTCTGATCTTTCCATTGTTCTTACCGACTACCATAATGTTTGACACCTAAGTTAGGTACTTGATCACCTTAAGAAACCCGTCTCAAACTACTTGATGATCTCTTCTTTGACTTTCATAAGGATATCTAGTCTCATTCTCCTAAACTTCGATTTATTAGTTTATGATTAGGTAACATTGGAAATTTAGGTGTACCATTATACTAGTATCTAAACAAGACATATTCTCATACGACCAGGCAAATACATCTGCATATTCATATAGTAAGGCAATTAGAATCTTTCTTTCTTCTTCCAAAATCATGACTCGATTTACAATTCTTTTTGTTTTCCTCTATCCTTGCATTTACATTTTCTAACTCCTCTCAATGATGTTTTATAGATCGCTTTGAAAATTCTACTAGCTTGGTAAATTCATCCATATCTTCATTCTCAAATTCTTCTTCATCCATGGTAATCAAATTTTCATCAAATTTAGGCCAAACATGTTCGATGCAATTATTTTAGAATTTTGAAAGATATTTATTTTCTATATCTTTGAAAGTAGAAAAATGCAAAAATAAAAGGAGTGGAAAAGCATTGACACGATATTTAAGAAAATTCATGCCTCCTTTTCCTTTCTTTTATGGGTCTAGGCCGTGGCAAGCCTAGCCTTGGTTCCAAGCCCAACCCATACTTCTTTTTCTCCTCCCGGACCAAGCCTAAGTCCGTAAACAAGTTTCAAGTTCTTTTCCTAAGATATTTTCAATCAAACTACCCCTCACTTTCTCTCTCTTATTTGTCCTCAATCCAAGTGTCCGGTTCTCCCTTGCCTTCATCTCCTTTCTCTTTCAAAACCACAAATTTCTACTAAGATCGAACCGATCTCCTTCTCTAAACCAATTCTTCTTTGAAACCTAAAGCCTCACCAAGAAAACCGATCCCAATTCCCACTTTTTCTTCTCACCTGGACTAATGGGTCGTTTATCGTTCTCTCTAAAACATAGGTCCGCACTCACAAATTTGAATAGAGATCTAGCAATCTCTTCCTAATTCCTAAACCCGAACTCTCTCCTCCCTCATCTCCCATTCAAGTGATCTCATACATGAAGAAAATAGGGCCATGCATGTCATATGACGATAATGACTAAGTTACTATCATCGTCGGTTCTTAAAAGAATTAGAGGAAGTAGAAAATTTACCTAGTCCGCTTGATTGAGGGTGATCGATGGTAATGAAAGGGGCAACGTGATTCTTCCTCTCTTCCAATTGTTCTTCTCCCAAACCTAGAAACAACATCCATACCCAAAAACAACTATGAACCCAAAAAGCCTTTGAAACCGGAAGACCTTTTAAACCTAGAATGTCTTTGAAACTTAGAAATTTCTCCTAAATTGACTCCCAATTCCCAAAAATTCTCTTCTTAATTTCTCAAAATTCTCTCAATTCTTCCTCTGATTTTCTTCTAAAATTCTTATGCCCAATTCTCTCTTCAATCCCCTTTGTTTGTTTCCTCGATTCTCGACCTTTTTATAGGCAACCAATACCCTAGGACCCTTCATTAGTTTGAATTGTACTGTTGCAAGAGCCAAAAACCCAGATCGAGTTTTTGGCACTCGATAATAAACAATTGAAATGGTTTATAAGTGCACGCAATGAGGTGCAATGTGGTGCGAGAGGTGGTGGTGTAGTGGAGCGGGGTGGTGAGCGTATTCTTGGTCGGTAAAATTGCCGACCAAAAATCATAGTGTTGAAGATAAAATTTGGAGAATTTTGTCTCCAAGGAAAAGATAGAAGACGAACCCAAGAATTGTTTCGGGTTGAAGCAAATGGCGAGCCATTTGCTCATCTCGTTGTTCGCTCCTAAATTTCAATTTGGTCCTCGCAAATTTTAATAGTCCGTAATCGTGTCTTTTTGATATGTAATTTTAGTTCCCGTAAATTGTAATTTTATCAATTGAGTTTTTTTTTAAAGCGTAATTTAGGTTCTGAATTTTTAATTGATTTGATTGTATCCCTAATTACCTCAATTACATTTTTAATTGATTCAATGGTACTTTTGAATGTAATTAATAACGTGTGTGTGGGGGGGGGGTAAATTCCTAAAATAAAGTAAAAAGAAATAAAGATAAAATAAAACAAAAACAAATAGGGGAGATTTTTTTTTGAATCATGAGAGGATAGGGTCCAATATTTGGGTGTTTATAGTGTTTTTGTTTAGTTTCGTCAACCTCAAGCATGCAAATTTATAAAAATGAGTTTTTTTTTTTAAAATGTTATTCAGCTTAGTCTATCAAAAGATTTATTTCAAATTATTTGTTAATTTTCAAGTTTGGGAATTCAAAACAAATCCAATAATTTGAAAAAAAAAAAAAAAAAAAAAAAACAGAAGAAGAAGACAATAACGACAACATCAAATATATTAATTTTGATAAACATCATGTCTTTTTCAATTCATGTCATTCATAAGAGGTACCATTATATAGAAAAAGCAAATGAAAGATGCATTCCATTTACTTCTGAAAGAAAGTGTGTGTACTCAAAATTTCGTAGATTATAGCACCTAGAGTTGTTTGCCACTTAATGCTTTAGAATTTTGTTTTTTTCATATGGCTTCCACTCAATAAGTCTGTCATCTTCGCAAGATAAATTATGATGTTTTCCAATTTTCACACCACATAGAAATGTGGGAGAGTTTAGGTATATAATAAGTTGAATGAAATACAATAACTTGGAGTTTAAATTTTTGGATCATAAGAGGATGAGAGGTTCAGTTATCAAACTGTGTTGGGTTACTTGAGACGTTTCAAATGATATTAGAGTAACCCTCACTTCAATTTATAAGTGCTTGGAGACGAATGTGATTTGTATATCTCAAGTGTGTTAAGTTGGGATGTATTTGGTATAAGAACACGCGGTCAAATAGAAGAGATCTACTTTGTAATGCTCTCACCCCACATCGAATAGAAACGAAAGAGATCTTCAGCATGTAACAACTGATGAAAGCACCACCGTCTCGTTGATCTTTGCAATTTTGAATCACGAGGTGATAGGGTTCTATCTCTTAGTGTTTATGGTGTCCTTATTCGGTTTCGTCAACGTCAAAAAGATCAAGACAATAATGACAACATCCGATGTATTTTTATTAAACATCATGTCTTTTACAATTCATGTCATCCATAGAAAGTACAATGCATAGTACATACAATACATAGAAAAAACGATAAAACATGCATTGCATTGCATTTATTTTGAAAATATATATATATATATTTAATCTTCACCACTGCGATCTGCATTGATCTCATCAAGAATCATCACAAGAGCTACTATGAAGGCATAATCAACATTAGGATACACCGTCACCGAAAAATTGTCTGTGTTCAAAATAGCAGTCGTAAGACTGTGGCCTCTATGCATCTGCATATATATGGTAAGCAAAATATAATTAGCATGAGCTCTGAAGATATTTTTCTTGATTAAAATAACAATATACGGTCTTAATTAGTTACACAAGCCTTTGTATCTAGCACTCGTTATCCAAACTCTAAAATGAAATTAAGAGCATCAAACTTACTTGTGCAATCAAGATATTGGAATCACCAAGATATATAAAGCAGCCACTCTCTTGCCAGCCTCCTTTGACCTTGAAATCAGGGACTTCTCCTGTGTTATTAGCCAAAAATATGTCCAACTCTGTTTTGAATTGGAATAGCTTTGATTTCTTGGCTGTGAAAAGTAAATCTTTCTCCTCCTTGCTTTCTCCTCTGAAGATCTCCCACCTATGGTGCATGGTCATTAGCTGCAGGAAGAAATATTTAATACACAAAGATTAATTGAGAAAACAGAAAGATTAATTAATTAAATAACAAGCATAAAGATAAAAATGAATAATTGACGTAAATATGGGTTAAATTTAATTATTATTTTTTTCTCTCTTTATTTTTATTTATTTTTTAAATCTAAGTTGCATCATATCACAAATAAAAGAAACATCATATACTACTTACTGAATGAAATAATATATTTGAAAAGGTAGAAAATGAATTTTTTTTTTTTTCAGAATGAAAAAATGACCTTAATTTGGGGAGAGAAAAAAGGATCCAACTAATAAGGACTCCTGGCTACTTTTCAGGAGATTAACATTTGTAACTAATATCCTCAAATATTATTTACATTAATTAAACCATATCTAACGTCATATAATCATATCTCAAATTAAAGAAAACCTTTTTTCTTCCTGGTTGTTTGAATCACAGAATCAATAGAGAGAAAGAAAACGAAACAGAAAGAAAGAAACAAATGGAGGCTTTTCTAAGGAAAAAACAATTAGAGAGAGAGAGAACCAAATGATGGAAACCAGCAAAACATACCTTCTGCCTGAGAGAGACAAGGGTGTTACCACCTGCATCTTTCAGAAAACGACGATCATGGAGGCTTAAGAGTTTACTCTTGACCTGGAAAATGAGGGTGCCATTAATGTCAGACACCTTAAAATCATTCTCTCCCAGACTCCATAGCTTTGAGGAAACGGTGAGTTCAACGGGGTACTCTGCCAAGTACTGTGGCCCTATTACCACCACCGGTTTCTGAACTGGCTGGTGTGTTCTCATAGCTGGAATGGGGTTGCTTGGTGCTTGCCCAGTAGCCATTATCAATTTATCACACACCGAAACTTACTCAAAGAAATAAACAGAAACAATATAAGCCTTCTATATGTTCTTGATGGTTTCGTGAGTACTCACAAGAGGAATGGTGTCTGTATTTATAGTAGAATATTATACGAAAATCGACTTTTTTTTTTTTTTTGTAATTATATGTTGTAAGAGCTTTCTTTATTGGAAACTACCACTACAAAAAAAATTGAGTTTAGCGACGGAATATTCCGCCTCTAAACGCTATAATTTCGTCATTAATTGAGAATAGCGATGGCATAGCGACGGATCATATTCCGTCGCTATTCCCCTGGTCGCTAAATTTTAACGACGGAATACACATTCTGTTGCTAAATTTAGTGACGGAAAATCCGTCGCTAATCTTGGTATAGGATGACTCTTTTTTTCGTAGCTAATCTCGCTAATTTTGAAAATAAATCCATTACTAATCCATCACTAATTTTGAAATAAAATATGTCACTAATCTGTCGTTAATTTTGAAAATAAATCCGTTACTAATCCGTCGCTAACTTTGAAAATAAATCCGTCGTTATTTCAAAAACGAATTTGTCACCAATTCGTCACTATTTTTAAAAATGATTTTTCCGCAATTCCTTCGCTTTTGTTCACATTTTCAGAAATTATATTATATTATTAATATTGCATTTGATAATTAAAATTAATAATAAACAATCATAAGTAATCATGTATATATGAAAAATAAAATAATATTAACAAAATCATTCTAGAATACGTTTCATAAAAAAAACAAAACAAACAAAATGATTGAATATTATATCACTCATCCTCGCTCGTCTAATCCCATATCCTCATCCTCATGTTGTTTTAAGTGCTCGACTGGAGGTCGAGTGGAAGGACCAAGTAAATTGCTGAATGATCGACGAATCTATAGACAATTCGGATGTTCGTGCCAGCTGCATTAGTAAGGATGCCATCGAATTGTATTGAGACTTCATGCTACAAATAGTCTCCTTTTGCTTTAAAATCTAGCTTTTAAGCTCGATCACCTTTTCCTTCATAGCCTTGTAGTCCATTCGAAGCCGTTCGCTAGCCAAATCGATCATGTATTACGACGTTGCAGAGGAGGAGCTGCCGCCACTTGACCGAGACATATAATGCACCGACCGTGTGCCGATCCCATAAAATCTTTTCTTCTTCTCCCCGACGATCCGCGGGTATATGGCATTCGGTCTACTTCCGGCTCGAAGATTCCCGCCTCCCTCCGAGCCTCAACTTCCTCATTGATTAATTGCTCCACACGAGTCCTGCGTTATCAAAATAATAATATCATCGTTATAATATTAAAATAAATTTGAGAATAAATTTTCATATTTAATATTTGAAATTGAAAAATACTAACCTATGTTTGTTGGGATCGCATATTGATGAATGAACCATCACGTTTCTTGTGAGTCCTCTGGAACAACTCAAAACTCGTTGGTTGACGTCTCAATTCTATTGCCTAAAAAAAAGCATTACGAGAGAATATGATAAGTTCCAAATTAAAATGTTCTAAAATAAGTAAATAATAATAAAGAGTATAATTTACCAAGCGACGTGCATGCTCTCGTGAAGATATTGAGCCTATCGTATGTCCGGAAAGACCCGAACTAGGACCACCGGTCTCCGACAATCGGTTCCACGATGCTTGCTGCGAAAGAGCCACGTGATCATGTTTCTTGAAATCAACTTACCACACATCCCATGCCTCTTGACTCATACATTGAGGTCGCTCATCCATCAAACTCGATCTTGTATACAAAGTTAACATAGCGTTTCCTAACGACATGCTCCCATACCCCTCTAACAAATGCATCGATGTCCATATCCCATTCAAAAAATTTCTGGACAAGCAAAAAAATTTATATAACTTATTTGATGAGAAAATTTTTTGTGTAATCATAAAGAAAATTGTAAATACGTTACCTTAAATTCACTAACGTAGAAGTATTTAGTGACGCCGAGGACATCCTTCCATGACGATCCTTTCTTGTGCACTCGTTCCTTAAAAATCTCATAGATCTTCATAGAATAATCTCTATTATTGAGAGTCAACCTATCAAGCAAACAACTAAACGATAAAAGAAATATTTTCAATGCCGTAATTATTGAAATTACATATTAAAAAAAACAAATACATACGAGTTCGTAATCAACATAAATAATACGTTACCGAATGGATGAGTCGTGAAAACTCTTTGGAGTGTCAAACACGTGTGCGAGAGGGCCCCTCTCAAAGGTTGATGGTGGAACCTCAAGTGCCGATATAGGAATACCTATCGATGCGGATGTGCTACCTCCATGATTGCGGAAGCTATTGAATCCATGAAAAAATCTTATCGTTTGAGACCCGGGACCGATACTAGTAGGGGAGCTTAACGGACTACCCCTTGACGAGTGATGCATCCATGATTATCAAAATGTGATCCGATAGTGCCTCCGGGGGATGACGCAAACCATGATTATCATGAGTCATTATTGTATGATCTAACGTTAAACAAAAAAATAAAATACAATCAATATATTGTTAGAGTCCATTCATGGGTAAATAAATTAAAATACATCATTTGTAATGGATATAAAACAATCAAAATATACAACAAACATTTAGTGAAGGTAGAAAAACCAAAATTAATAAAGACAAAAAATTACATAATTTCTTATTAATATAACAAATGAAATATAAATTTAATTCGAACTATCATAATAATTGTTTAAGTTATCATCTTCACCATCCGAAACATTGTCATAATCATTTTCTTCGTCAACCACACCTACTTCTATATCTACGAACAATCCATTTGGATCATTCAACAAAGTGACATCCTCGACTTCGTTTATCAATTCATGTTGAATTTTTGGATCGTTCTGCTGAAATGGTTCAACATTTTGTTCTACGGTAGGCGATAATTTAGAAATGTCAAATACGGACCTAGCTTTGATCTTACACACGGCACATCGGTCTCGATTTTCATATCTTAAGCTAAGGTACTTCATATAATACACTTGAGTCGACTGTGATGCTAGGACAAATGGTTCATAATTGTTCAAGGTTTTTTTACTTTTAACATCCATAAGTTTGTAGTGTAGATGAACCCTTGTTCCTTGTGATGTGAGATCGAACCAATCACATTTGAACAATATTGTTCTCTTGATCGGTAATGCGGGATATTGTACTTCAAGAATTTTTGTCGGCATCCCATGATAGTCACTTGCAGCTGAGTTATAATTGCTTTTTTTTTAATGCATACACCACTATTGAAAGACCTAATTTTTTAAGATCCCTCAAGTGTGCGAAATCTATAACCATTAACGAAATAGCCACCGTACGATCCGATAGTTAGCAATGGGCTTTGTGCGAGATCTTTCAAGAATTGGTCTTTCATGTAAATTGCTTGTGCATTTTATGTACGTAAGTTAAATATAAAATCACCTCTAAGTTTAGTTATCTTTCTATTAATGCTATCAACAAACTAAACATATAAAATGATCATACTTACATATTGATTAAACCAAAAGGCAAACTCATTTTCAATTAGAGCATCGACTTTATTCTCGGACATGAATAGATTGTTCTTTTGAATTTTGGCAAGAAATCCACTAAAGATAAGAGAATTATTAAGAAACGTGAGTTAGTCTCTACTATCTTCCTAACATTTAATTATTAAATATAATAAATAGGTTAAACTCACTCAATGTAAGGTTTGAATTCTTCACGATTCAACAATATATATTGGTAGGTCTGCTTTGTGTTATAGTTGTGTCAATTTTCTTATTTTGTATTGATCAATTGATCGACTTGGTTATTTGAACATAGATAACATCCCTTCGAGTGTGGTTTTCTTATTCATTGTTGAACTCAAAATTACGGAGCACTTTTTGATGCCTTGTATACACATGAGGCCCAAAATAATACGAGCAAAATAGAGATGCTTTTTCGACTAAATATACATTGCATATTGATCCTTCCACTTTAGTTTTATTCTTAACGTTATCTTTTAGCTTACGCAGATAGCTGCAAATATGAATAATTTTAACGTTCGAAAGTAAAAAAATTATTTTATTTTATTTTTAAATTAAATGTCAATACCTTTCAAATTGATACATCAATCGATATTGCACGGGTCGCGCGATAGATGCCTCATATGGTAGATGGATTGGAAGGTGTTCCATGGAGTTAAAAAAGCTAGGTGGAAATATACGTTCTAGCTTGCACAAAATGATGGGTATCTCATAATTAAGTCGTAACATATCCTCTTGCTTTATAACTGTAGAAGTCAATTGCTTGAAAAATAAACTTAACTTTGTAAGTGATTGCCAAACATTTCTCGATAAAAACTCTCGAAATGTAATTGGAAGTAAACGTTGCATGAAGACGTGACATTCATGACTTTTCATCCCATAAAGTTTGTCATGTTGCATATCAACACATCTAGCTAGATTGGACACATATCCATTAGGGAACTTGAGTTGTTTTATCCATTCAAGCAATCTTCTTTTTGTTGTTTCAACGGAGTAAATGTAGCTTTAGGATACTTTCCAAACGCATCATCCTTTGCTAATTCGACCTTTTACGGAAGAGTTTCAAGTCTTCTCTAGAGTTGGCATTATCTTTAGTTTTTCCCGACATATTCATGATTACGTTAAATACATTATCAAAAATATTTTTCTCAATATGCATGATATCTAAATTATGTCGAATGAGATTTGTACTCCGGTAAGGCAAATCCCAAAAAATACTTCGCTTCCTCTATCCAAAAATATGAGAGATTCTACTATTATGATCATTTACACCATCTTCTATCAACTTTGATAACCCCCATCATCCGCACCATCTTCCGTCAACTTCAACAACCCCCATCTGCTCGATCGGATGTAACATCTCCGTTTCGGATCGGATTGGAGGAGGACCGATTTAACAACTTTGTTGGCGGTGAATGCTTTCTTGTTTCTTCTATATGGATGATTATGAGGAA